CGGTCATTTTAAGTAAGAATCCATTTAAGAAAAAGTTCCTCAAGAGTTTGATCTTGAAAGTGACTTTTTTTGCAATTGGATTAAAACTAACTTTCACTCTCAACCTAATTAATTAACGATCCTCGAGATCGATCGTTGAGAATCTTACACTCAAATGGATGTATCTTAATGTGATCCTAAATTTCTACATTTTTTTTTTTTCAAAGTAAAATTTCACGAAATCGAATCGCACGGTAAATTGGCGAAATTTTAATCTCACTTATACAGATAGATATAATCGAAGCGATAAAATCGTCGGGAAAAAGTCAATAATGCTGGAGAACTGGTTTACTGTCCAACTTTCAACGGCAGATATGCATGATTTATCGCGACTTAAATCTCGTTCGAATCACATTGGTGTATCCAATACATACAAATAAGGCAAAACTGTCCATAGCTATATAGGTGAAACCTTGAAATCTTTGCATTCCATTACACGACCGTACACGTAATATGCAATACGCAATAATTAAGGAAACGTATCGAGACCCCGACAACTTTAAAACTATCATCCTTAAGATTTAGTTTCTTGCAACTACTGGATAATTATTAAATTTTTAGCTTAGAATGAAAAGTGTGTTAATGATTAAAGAAGAAGAAAAAAAAACGCAGGTTTACGAAAGCTAATTTGATCGAGGATTCTTCTTTTCGAAAAGCTTCTCAATTATTAGTTACAGAATCTCGTGGTATAATTCTGTAGGAGAAGAAAACGATAAATCACATTATTCCATAACAGCGTAATACTGCGTACTTGTAAATTAGAGAGGAATCGTCTAATGCGGTGGGGTTAATCTTAATTAAATCTCTTCCTCAATCACCTAACATCGCGTGTACATTAATCTTTCCTGGAGGCTTCCTGGAGTTCTAACACGAAACGCTCTTTTATCCTATTTGCCTTTTCGTAGCTTGTAACTAGCTACACATACGTTGAAAATAGATAAGAAGTCCGCTCACGATCTTGTAAGTACGTAGATCCTCTCTTATCAAAACGCACAAAACGTTCTTACACATTGTATTGTGTAGCATGGCGCTTCGTTCGTCTCCATCTTTTATTTTATTTCCACCGCGCTTCTACGAACCTTACTATCTTTTAGATAAGATTTTGAAACGCTGAATCACAATAGAAACGAGATAAATTGCAATATCGAGGAAAGATTTTGTGTCGAGTGCGAAATTATTAATAATTGGATATAATGTTTTCTTCAGAAAAAAAGAAATGCGTGCATCTTATCATCTATTCATATCTCTTTCTTCATTTTATTCAAACTCTTTGCGAAAAAGATATCTTTCCTTGAGATTGCACTTAAACCTTCCTCTGTAATTAATTTTGAATAACAATATTGAAAAGATATTCGATCTTCTATCCATCGATTTGCATCAATTGTTTTTCGAAAAATAAAAAAAAGTTTAACGCGCGCAAAAAAAAGAAAAAAAAAGAATTAATTAATAACACAGCAGGCAACTGTCGCGAACAAAGAGGGAAGCAATCGCGCGCTATGCTCGCATATACTTAACGTGTCGGATGATTTATTAACGAACCCGTTCCAAATCATAAATAACGCTAACGAATCGTAAATGTTTCATCGTTAAACAAACGCTTGGAGCGCATCAGGCTCGTACAGTTAATCGTTGGCAGGATTCGTACGATTCCATCCTCTTAACAACAGGCTCGACACGTACACGGTATACCATTCGTAACCAAGGTTGAAAAAGAACTCTACGCTGGCAGCACGTTTACGTTTAGTGCATGCATATGCATCAGATGTGCCAGACACTGTCGCACGTACTAAAATAACTTGCCAACTTGTTTGATTCTCTCATCTTGCGAAAATCGCGGCTTCAACAATAAAGACTTAATTAGATAAAGCGTCATCCTAAATATAAATCGATATCATGAAATTGCCGTTGATATATTTTCGATTAGCGTTTTCTATTGTAAAATAAAGTTCTAAAAATTGTAAAAAAAAAAAATAAATATTCGATATATCAGGAAAATTCTTATAAAGACTGGGACTAGAGATTAAAGAAAAATTGGATCATCGTCCAAATGGAATCGTGACAATCTATATTAATTTTGATTAAAAATTGTAAAAATTCTAAAAAGTTAAATTAAATTAAATTATCAAATCTACCGGATAAAAATTATATATAGATAGACGTATAGAGATATATTTTTCTTCTCTTCTTAAAAAAATAGAAAAATCGACAAGGATCGATTTCGTTACGAATCTTTCAATTAGCAACGATAAAAGACGGATACACGCGTAACTGTTTGCCTTATTAAATTTAAAAAAAAAAGAGAGAGAGAAAGAGAGAGAGAAAGAAAAATCCTCGATTGTTCGCGATCACTCGGTTAGAATGTCTCTGAATCAATTTCGTTGTAGCACGGGTTTCAACACGTCCAGATTACACCATACATCCTGTGTTGTTTCACACCGGCAACACCGTGTACGCACGAAGATCTTTTAAACGGAGAATTTCGACTTAATTATCGTTCGGCTGATTAATGATCGCGTATATACGTTTCAATGTGGCACCGCGTCAAATTCTATTTAACATTTTGTACGTCGATAGAAAGCGCGATCACGCGAGTAATTTGCACGCACAGTTAGTCTGTTTTGAGAGTTCATCGAGTTGGCATGCGACACCTCTGTGGACACGAACAGAAACGCATTTCCGCCTTTCTAAGCGAATGCAAATTAAACGGGCGGGATTAAGTTGATGGACACGATCCAACCACGATCCCCGAATTCTTTTCTGGCGTGAGAAATTTTTCTAGGCGTGTACTCGTTAATTACCGTTTAACTTTTTGGTAAAAGAATCAGGTTGTTACGCAGGTGTAATTAAATTGAGGAGTCGTGCATACGAATTATATTTCCTTTTTTTTTTTTTGGAAAAAATAATTCGAAAATGAGACGCGAACGAGTTCAGGAGAAAAGAATTGCGAGTAATAAAATCTCTAATTTGTAATTTTGTAAATTTTACCTATATTTTTCGAAATTTCATTTGAATTCGGCGAGTTCGAGAAAGATCGTTGAAATATAAAATTAAGGCGATCATGTTGTAAATTAACTATACAAGTTAAAACTTTCTCTATAGTATAATGGACACAATTAAAACTAAACAGCGAAACGATTTTTCCTAAGAATTATGTAATCTTTTTACTACGGATGTTACTTCAGATGTTACTTTGACGTGAATTATCGAGGACGATGCATTTCAATTGCACTTGCTCAATTCCACTTAAGAGAGTCAATTTATCCTGCAAACTCGTTCCTCTTTTAAATTACAAACGATTAAATAATTCGTATAGATCGAAATTCGTTCCTATTCTACGTAAAACTGTAAATTTTTGCTTATTTTGATATCGCATTCATTCATATTCACGCTTTATTCCTATTAAAAATTGCGGTAGTTTATTACTAATTGAAAATTTATAACAGATGTAAAAAAAAAAATAATAAAAACCTTCTAAAAATCTAAATATAATAAATATTTTAATGAAAATTTATCCTAAAAATATCTGAATCACGTTGTATATTAAGAATCAGCATCATTATATTCACGATAATAAATTATAATATACAATAATGGTTACCCGTTTTTTAACGCGTGTAACATATTCACGATTGTTTTATACTTCTATTTTTAAATAATTTCATAGATCAAAAAATACGGGGAGATATGTGAAAAAAAATAAGACAAAGATTTCAGAACACAGAAAGTAAAAGGAAAATGAAATTTTTCCCGTGAAAAGTAGGTGTGCGTTAGAAGATTACTTCGGAAAGGCACAAGGCCTTACTCGGCGAACGTATAATACTTTCACAGAAGCGTTAGAGCAAAGGTCATTCTTCCCCGGCAAAAGACGAGTAACAAAGTTCAAGCATTCACCGTCATACTGTTGATTTCGAGAGAGTGCAATTGCCGCAAACGAAAAACGTTCATAAATGTTACGTATATCATTGTTTTACGACGAAAAATTTCGAAAAGAATCTCATTCAATGTGAAAAAAAATGACGAATAAGAAAATATCGACTTTTTTTATGATAATTATGAAACGTTGCATGTGTAATACATAATTGAAAAAAAAATATAATATCTTTCTTTTTATAAGATCGTAATATTTTAAAAAAAGATCGTAACATATATTGTGCAATAACCATAATCGCGACACTTTCGATAATTTAAATGAGCGGTGACATTCGATGCAAATTGTAACATGTATAAAATCATCGATGAGAGGGCGTTGTCATGAAAATTTGATTCCTTTTCGAGAAATAAATATTTCTTTTTGTTATGCATATTCAAAGAGTTAGGATGAAAAATTAGAATTACAAACAACGTCCTCAAACAACGATTATGAATAAATAAAATTGAAAATCCGTATGTATATATTGTGAATGTAATAAAATAAATGAAAATAATTAATTAGAAAATTAAAGTGATAGAGAAAAACATGGAAAAAAGAAAAAAATATGTTCATAACGAGTCCAATTGAAAAACATTGTATGTATGTATGTATGTATGTATGTATGTATGTGTGAAATATAATTTATAATTCATAGATGGCGTCTTCGAAATTTCTCAATATAAAAATACATGTAAATTGCACGCATACAATTGAACCCACGAAAGAAACGTGTACTCGAAGTACGTATTTAACGTATCTAAACTATTTCGATCTTGTTTATAAACACGTTGTGCTCGATACTACGAAATCAATTTCTCAGAAATTTTATCCGTATTTATAATTCTATTTACATTTTTTAAAGAAATGAATACAACTTCGAAAATTCTTGGAAATATGACTACGTTTCATACGCACATGATCGATTTTTAAATTCATTAATACAAAATCTTAATAACGAACAAAGTTATTATACGATTAAGGATCAAACAGAAGAGTTAAATAAAAGATTCGATGCCGAAAAGAGATATCAAAAAGAAAATCATTGACTGACCTGTATGGACGCGATGCTTGGCGTTGGTCTCGTTTGCCAAAAGAAGATTGTCGTACTCCAGTGTCGTCACATCCTTCATATGCACTAACACAATCACGAAAGTCACTAATATTAACACTATTGTTATCACCGATCGGTTCACCGTCATTTTGATCACGAAAATATGCGTTTTCCGGCCACGAAAAATCCGTCGCACGACGCGGGATACGCCATTCGATCACATTTTCGCAAACCGCGAGAATCGGAATTTCGATGAGGAAAGCTCGAAAATATCGAACGCTCGAAGCGGGAAGTTCGAATACCGCAATCGTATACCGAATGCTAATCCTCGCATATTATTAAAAACGCGATAAACACGATGATAATAGGACAAAATACGATTATAAAATTCGCACAACGCTATTTCGATTGTGATTTAGGCATTATTTCTCCGCATTTAAATTTTATTTGCCGATACAACGCGAAGTTGTCCCTTTGACGCCACAAATTCGATACGTGCGCAGATCGAACGAATTGTCATAATTACTGCGCATAGGACAGAACCCCGCGTACGAAACGAGTGCACCGTTCACGGATGAGAAACTCTAGGTCGGTGAAATTTCGCGAATTCTCTTCGTTCTCTCGATTCATATCACACGAAGGATTGTCAATCGGCAAACATTACACACTCGTCAACTGTCACTCGCGTATACATAATTGGGTACGCCGAAAATAAAAGCAAATATTCGAAACCGCGCGTGCTACCACTTTTAAAAGAAGTGTGCGCCACACGAGTCCATGCTACACTGCGAGGCGACAGTCAGGTGTTTCAAGCAGCCGCCACGCGACATCCGCGCCATCCATTGGCCTATCACTGAACATTCGATGTCGCGCGTAAACCACCGGCGCGCTTTTCACGCGCACGTTCCTTACGTCGTTCTTGGTGTCACGTGGCCCCACTTGACTTCATTCATGGAGACAGGTCCTTTTATATGAGCGTATGTATGCGTAAGCATTGCCCAGCTGTATAAGTATGCATCATTCTTATGTGCATCTTTTCTTTTTTTCTCCAATGTATAGAGGTCGATTTTTGCATACACAGAATAGAAAATTTAAATAATTATTTTATTAATAACATATACTACTTTCTTACAGCATAATCAGACGTTGTCAGAATTTCTCCTCATTCTATATATCAATTTCAATGCCTAACATGTTCAGCAATAAAAATGCACGATGTGTAATATTTCTCCGAATCCCAAGTAACCAACCAAAATGTAATCAATTCTTGGAAAATCGAATTTTAAAAATATACATAATCAAAAAATCAATACTATTCTATCTTCCTCTATTCGTTTCTCATTCAATACATATTTCCAATTCAATTTTAAAATCACATTTTTAACTCTATCAAATTTTCAATCACCCTCCCACGCTATCTCCCTTTTTTATGATTACCAATCTTGAATAGCGTGCAAATGTTGCCCAACATCTGTAAACCATCCGCCGATCGCTTCTAAGCAGTTTCCTGCACGAAAGCAGTCGCGGATTCGTTCGTTACCTACATTTCCCTATCGGCAGCGATTTCTCACCGTCTCTCCCTCCATCCCTACCCTTAGCAAAGTAAAATCGCGCGTCGAAATCACGTAAGCGTAACCTCTTCGCGAAGAAGACACGGATGCCTCGCTCTACCGGTATTTAATTAAGCCCGGTCATTCGAGAGAGACAGAAAGGGAGAAAAAAAAGTCGTTGGTACAGGAAGCGATGGGTTTCGAGTACGCGAAGCAGCGGACCGTAGTTCGAGCCCCGTTACGGGACCAGATACATTGGCGTAGTCTCGATCGATCGGATATCGTTGTTTTCGCGACCGATCCTCGTGCACAGTGACGTCCCGACGCCGGTGTAACTTGGTATTCCGAGGGATCGCGAACCGCATCGATCTTAAAAATTATCGACACGAAACTCGAGAGTAATGGTCAAAGTGGCTTTGTCTTCGTCCTTTGCGTTCCCCTATTCCGTTTTATCTCGCTTTATCTGTCCACCACGAAAGGCAAACGATCCGTGTTCGTTTTTCACCCTGACAAGGAAATGAACGATCGATGCACTTCCAATCGCGATACGTAATCCCTGACCGCAGAGACGATCCCGCCGAGTAATTTTCATGCTGCAAGAAGAAAAACACGGTTTCCATTATGATTGATAGAAGAATTGCCATGTTTTAATATTATTGTAGGATAATGGGAAAACGATTTGATGTATTATCTGTGAAATTTGTATGTAACAGAATAAAATGAGGAAATAAAGATCGTGTTGGTCTCACAGGTAGTCAATTTTTTTTTCTAAAGTCATAGAATAGTATAGAAGATCGTAAAATGTATCTTCCTCTAATGAGCCACTGTTCAACCATTTTTCTCACGAATGAAGAATTCACAATACTTTATTGTTCGGTCTATGGAGACGACAAACTTGTATCTTTCTAATAGTCGCTACAAGTTTAAGACATTTCCGGCGTGGCTATGAATGATTTCAAGCGGCGAACTATTATTGTATTTTATTTATTATTTATACTTGGATTTTATTAATGTTATTCGATGTTATGAGACGAGATTTGGAATAACTTTCAGAACATATCTAAGAGAAAAATCACGGGTAACGCGTAATTTAATAATGTCTAAACATGGTGCTACGTACCAATGAAATTCTTCTATGCGTCTTTATTTTAGACGCTTCTTTTTTCAAGCCTTGGGGGACATATTCTCACGAAATCCGGTTCTACTGGTTTGGGGTTAGATACGAAGCTGAAGTTTAGCTGCGGTGGCCCGAGAAATCGGCACCTCTGCTGATTACTATATCGTAATGTATCGTTAGATTAGTTTATTTATTAGAAATGAAATTATGTGTCAAAATCAAGACCATCAGCAAAATATTTATAATCCTTTAATCATTCTTTCTTGAAATCTATCTGTAAATGACAAAAATTCATATTAAATGAAGGATTTGAATTATTTTTTTACGATATTAAATCATTTACATTCACACTAACTTTCACGTGAAAAAAAAGATCAATTTGTTAAAAGGAAAGGAAAACGAAAGACTATGTACTGAGAAATTTGTCAGGTAGAATCTAATTAACTTAACACACATACCTTAGGTTTGTAAAATCTTCGTAAAGTAAGAATGAAAAAAAAAATGATAATTTTTTTCAATGCCTCGT